TCCCTAGTCTTCCTTTTGCTATTGATGTATTTGAAGAACCCCTTCTTGTTGTCCTGGACATCCCTCGCCAGATTTAATCCCAAATGGGCCTTAGCCTTCCTTGTTGCATCCCTGCGGACTCTGACAACGTCCCTATATTCCTCCCAAGTGGCCTGTCCCCTTTGGCACATTCTGTAGACTTCCTTCTTGTGTTGGAGTTTTGCCAGGAGTTCCTTGCTCATTCATGCAGGTCTCCTGCCCACTTTGCTGGACTTCTTACTCAGAGGGATGCACCCGTCTTGAGCCTGGAGGAAGTGATACTTGAACATTAACCAGCTCTCCTGGACCCCCCTTCCCTTTGGGGCCCTACCTCATGGGATTCCTCCAAGCAGGTCCCTAAAGAGGCCAAAGTTAGCTCTCCTGAAGTCCAGGGTTGTGATCTTAGTTATTGCCCTGCTCCCTCCTCGCAGGATCCTGAACTCCACCATCTCATGGTCACTCTGCAGCCAAGGCTGCCCCCAACCTTCACATCTCCAGCTAGACCTTGTTTGTTTGTTAGTACAAGGTACAGTACCTCTCCTCGTTGGCTTCTACATCACCTGTGTCAAAACGTTATCCTCAGTGCTCTGCAGGAACATCCTGGACTCTTTGTGCCTAGCTGTGCTGTCTTCCCAGCAGATGTCAGGGTGGTTGAAGTCCCCCAGGGCCTGTGATTGTGAGGCTACTTCCAGCTGTTTGTAGAAGGCCTCATCGACTTCCTCTTCCTGATCAGGTGGCCTGTAGTAAATCCCCACGACCGTGTCACCCATATTAGCCCGCCCTTTAATCCTTACCCACAAGCTCTCAACTTGCTCTTCATCCACCCCGAGGCAGAGCTCCATACATTCTAGTTGCTCCCTCACATAAAGAGCCACTCCACCACCTCGCCTTCCTGGCCTGTCTTTCCTAAAAAGCACATAGCCATCCCTGACAGCATTCTAGTCATGTGAGCTATCCCACCATGTCTCTGTAACTGCAATGAGATCATGGTCCTGCGACTGCACACAGATCTCTAACTCTTCCTGCTTATTCCCCATGCTGCATGCATTGGTGTACAGACATTTCAGAGGGGTAATGCCTCCACATTATCAGACTCTTATAAAGTATTTCCAGTTATCGACATAATGCAAATTAGGCTTACATTTACTCCCCAGGAGCAGTCAGGCAAGGACTCATGGTCCAACCAAAACAAGACCTCTGGCTTAAAATGGGCCGATGGAGGAGCCCATCTGGAGAAATCAGGAGCGAGTCTGCTGGCAAACAAAAGGGGAAGTGGCCGCCCACAGGGGCTGGCAAAGGTGGCACAGGGTGTATCACAGGCAGTTTGGCAGAGGCAGGAGGGGGCTCTAATAACAAGCAGCGATGCCTGAAGGTCTCACCATGGGATGCTGCAGATGGGTTCAAAAATCAACTGGACAGATTCGGGGCAGTGGAGGGAAATGCCGCAGCCGATCCTGGAGTCAGGACACTGGCCAAGAAGGATCTTTGGCCTGAGCAGGGACAGCCCATTAAATCAGCGCAAGGTTTTTCCCCTAGGTCAAGGCATCAAGTCTACAGCACATAATGGACATATGCTGCCACATCAGAGAGACAACAGTATGAATCATCTCCTATTTTATGTGGTGCTTTCACGGGTAAGGCCAGCAGCTGACTTGATAAAGTCAATTCTCCTTCAACTGCTCTAGGCCCCCAGCAAATAAATCATCGTAAAAGATAATTACAAACCACCTCTCTGCAATGGATGTTTCCTCATACTTTCAGGAAGAGAGCGGTCAGCCTGCACGGAGATTCAGGAGCTCTCCTAACTGTGGAGCAATTTCCCCTGAGGAAAAACTGAGCATTCAAATTGTTGGGGCGGGGGGAATTTAGGGGAGGCACAGCTTTTTGACCTTTGCAATTAGCCAAAAGAAACGGGCAGGCAGATGCAGCTCCATTCTCCTAAATCAACATCTTTATCCTTAAACCTTGGGCGAGAAGGTATCTTTTGCAATCTCTTGGCTTGATTTATTTAAAACACTCTTCCATAGTAAGATGCAGTGATTGCTGTTAAGCTAGAAAACAGAAATGCTGGATTGTGTTTTAAATTACCTCTGGGATCAGGTAGTCCAGGAATGCAAAGCTCTAGGCTGCAGGATCTTTTGTAATGCTTTTCATCAGCATTAGCGACTGACAGTATTTATTTAGATCACCTTTCGGCTACAACCCTACCCAAAGAAAGCAGTCCCAACACAACCATTCAGTGTGTGAGACATGTTTAAGGAGAGATCAAGCAAGCGGGGCTGTTTGGTCTGGGGAAGAAGGGGCTGGGGAGGTCTAACTGCAGCCCACAACTCCTTGAAATGGAGTCACAAAGACGATGGAGCC